AATCGGTCGATACTTTGATACATACTAAGCTTACTATTATTAATAATACTCCCGGTACTACTGGTAGTCCTTCGATTTGATATTTACTCCTTTAACTCCCGTACGGCCATTTTATAGTACGTCTAAGACGTATGAATTTTGTATTGATTTCATTATGAAAAAGAGACACGATTCTCAGGTTACATTCATTGTACGATCAGAAGTTGATTGGAAAAGTCGTTCCTCCCATACGGATAGCTCGTCGAAAGCCGGAAAGCAAGCCGAAAAATACGTCTAAGACGTATTATACGTTGATGTCGAATTGTTCGTGGGAGAGTTGACAGGATGGAATCGATGGGTGATTTCTGAACAATGGGTAATATATCCGGTGTGATGAGTCCCCAGGGCAGAAGTGGTTGGAGGTAATTGGTTGATAAGATTTGTCACTTGACACAGAGGGTGCAACTTCAACGCTAAAGTTGTTATAGGATTCCTCGTGTGTTTGCTCTGATGTTCGTAAACTGGGCAAGATGAAAAAGAATTCAACTGAGTCGACTGTTACGTCATGGACGTACATACCCACTCGAACAAAAGTTCGATTGTCGAACTTCAACAAATAGATGCCTGGATAGTACTCCGGAGTACAAAAAAGATTGTGACTCCACAGGGAATCGAACCCTCAACTCGCCGGATCATAGACTCCTACTCAACAGCGTTGAACAAACCCCCGTTTCTGTACTGCATTATTTATAAGTACAGAAAGCAACGCCCACCTTGTCTTTGATTATTGCGATAATTACAATGTCTGATTGGCCACTGAAGTTCGACAGCTATTTTAGCCTATCACAGTCACTTTGAAAAAACTTTAATCAATTCAAGAGGTAATAAAATTCCACATCTCATATTGCAGAAAGTTCGCAAAGCAAACATATTGTCACAATCAATTGTAGAGGTCATAAGTATTACAAGGAATATTGTAACATGAACTTTGACTGGTACCATAGTCAAGGAGTAAGCGTAAGCGTTCGGCGCGATAGCTCAAGTAGTAAAACGTGTTGGGCGTCTTGTGTTAGCCCCGGGTTCGATACCCGGGCGCGTTGGACTTTTTTCCAAAAAATAAAATCGCTTTGAAAATATCCTAATATTCGTATACAATACATTCGAAGTACAAATAAAGTGTAGTATTCAATTACGTCACTCGTGATATTCGTCCTTCTTTGGGCGTCTACACTTCCAGATATCGTGAAAGTATGCACAGCATGTGAGACCACCCAATAGAGCCCGCGGCTTCATGCAGAGAAAAACTGGACGACCATGCGTGTTCTTCTCTGAGCATTGCTTGCAGTACGTCGTGGTCTGCCGCGTTCGATCCAACTTGCCCATGGACTTCAGCCACGCGCACACAAAGCAGCTTCGGGCGTTCATCTTGTTCCCGCTTCGAATTTCCTCGGTGTGCACCATGATGTGCTCGGACTTGGGAACATACACTGGCGCCACTGTGAATGCTGATGCCGGAATTCGTGGGTCTGAGTCGTCCAGTACGTCTTCGTTGCTCAGTTCGTCTCCATCGGCCGGATTGTCGTCGTCGTCGAAGTCCATGTGTCCCATGGCACACAATTGTTGGGAGAGGAGTCGGCGGAAGGCTGAGTGTGTCATCGGAGTCTTTCCTTGGGCCTTGGTGACTTCCCTGTGGATGATGTACATGTTCACAAGACCTACGTCAATGAGTCCGAGGGCGACGCCCTTGTAGTATTTCTTGAAGCGCAAAGTGCCTTGTAGTGGGTAACGCTGTAAACGAATTTGGTCGTGAACGTCCGCACCGTTCATTGTCTCGTTGTACGTCTGCACAAACGTTGGGCACGGGACTTGCATGGATTCCGGCCCACGCTTGGACCGACGAAGGACAGTTGTTGGCTTCGTTGACGCTCCTGAGGCAAGGAAGTAGACATTCCCATTGTCACGCCACGCCAATGCTGCGATGGGAGTGTCGTCCCGGGTTGAGGCCACGCTGTACGCTCCACGGTCGACGCGAGCCTTCGGTGGCCAAACGATTCCCAAGGGGAAACCCAGGCGCGTTGGACAACATGTGCCGATGCAGTAGAAGTTGTTCTCCAACAACGTCCGCACAAGGGTGTACGAAGTGTACTCCCTGTCGCAGATGATGTACCTCTTCTTGTTGGGGTCGGCTGTGGTGTGATAGCGGCCGTCGAAAAGTGCCTTCAGGTTCCGGTACACAGCCGCTGCGCCGGTGTCGTTGTTCTCGGACGGTGGGATGGAATCTGGCCCGCGCATTTTCTTCCCACAGAAGATTTCAAACCTAAAGTTCGTCAAAGTCGTATGAATACGTCTCATTGTGTCCAGTACGTCCAAGACGTACCGTGCGCAAAATGCGGTTGTACCACAGCACACCATGAATAGCTTCGTCCCAAACTTATGGGGCTTGTCTTTGAAGTACATGAGGTACGAGTGCATAGAAGCACGACCGGGAATGACGGCTTCGTCAAAACTGACGTAGCGGCCCAACGAAAACGCAGACGCCGACGTTTTCTGAAGGACATCCGAAATGGAACGGACCTTCCAAGCGCGGTCGGTCTTTGCGCGCGGATCGAGGTTATTTGTGAAGTGCAGAAACCTACTCTTCAAATTATGAGTACATCCAGATCAATGATACGTCAGGAACAGCTGTTACGTACCGACAAATGTCGACAAACCTGTTTCGTCCCATGATGTTTCCGAATGTGCCAGGAGGTTCGAGGCCTTTGCAGTACTCCTCTCGACGCCAGTGGTCTTTGACCCCAGACTTGATAGGCATGATGCATCGAAATACGAGCATTGCAATAAGTTGCACTACCTCCAGCGGACGTACGTCTTGGAACCTGTTGGCCTTGCGCCGGTAAGTCTCGTGTTGCTGGGCGGAGTAACTTCTTTCGTGACGGAACAGTCGTGATTGACGGGTTTGCATCTCGTAGTTCGTCGTTTCACGAGCCACATGGCGCCAGAACCACTTGGGGAAGAAGAAAAAGAATAACCCAATGGGGCTGTGCGCGTAGGGCACAACTGCAGGCGTAGGACCCCACACCTCCGTGTCGTTGTCAAATGCGTCTTGTGCGACTCCGACGTACGAGTCGTCGGTGACACACTCCCAGCCAGTTTCGGACAAACGGTGCAAGGTATCAATTCGCGCAGCCCCAGACAGACGCTCCTCCCAACAACCCTTGAAGTGGTCGGACGTTCTATGATTCAAGTAAGGTATCGTACTTCGTAGACATTTCGTAGGCACTCACCGCGACAAGTCTTCTACGTCTGTGCCATCAACGTCGTACTCTTCCATGTCATTGCCAAGTCTGGGCATGGTCGACTCGTCCTCGTACACGTCGTCGAAGGGGACGTCGTTACCTTCCTCGTCGTAGTGGCCTTCGTCTCCTGAGTCTAGGCCGTCGTCGATCTCCTCTGGTCGGCTGTCGTGCTCGTCGTCGCTTCTTCGAAGATCGCTGTCTCCATCCTTGTCGCTTGCTTCGACATCGTGGTTGGCAGTCGTCTTGGCCCTCTTTGCGGGGGGTCGAACCTTGGACTCCGAACTCGATGCGTCGGAGTCCTGCTCCAAACGTTGAAGGAATGAGGTGCCATGAGACACACGCGCTTTTCCAGCATGGCTTGGTCGCAGCATGGACTTGGGAGGAAAGCCCCGAGGTTCCAATTGCACGCGGGCGGTTTCGGGACGAATGCTGACTTGCAAGTCAGGCTACACAAAGAACTGTTCAGACATGAAGAAGAATACCACCGTACGGTAGTGTTCGTGAGAGACGTAGGAGGCATGGAGTTGCGTATTGCGGCGCGGCGTTTCTTTGCGTCCTGCGTGGCTTCCTTTGCAGCGTCTCGAACCACCTTTTCCTCCAGCCGCTTCTTCTTTGCTTCTTCCTTCTCGGCCCTACCCGCCAGCCGCTTCTTCTTTGCTTCTTCCTTCTCGGCTTCACGCTGCTTCTTGCCTTGTTGCTTTTCCCACATTTTGGAACCCTCCTTGTAAGTACGCGTTTTGCTTGGCTTCCCAGATTCAGCTTGATTTCCAGACACAGAATCCGTCTGAGACGCATTGTTCGTCGAGAACATGTTCCCGTCATTCGGGATGGGACCTTGGGGCGCAGTCGTCGCTTGGGGTGCTGTCGTCTCTTGGGGCACAGTCTTCGCTTGCAGCGTACTTTGCGTCGGAGACGTATCTTGCGCGTGGGGTGTATTTTGTGCGGCGAGTTGTTCGAGATAGTCATCTGGTGGAGTTGGGGGCAAGCAGAGATCACTGAGTGTGCGCTTCGGAGTTTGAAGCACTTCCTGTTTCACGTAGAGTTGTGGATTTTCCCACCAAATCGTCGCATCCGACCGCATAGAGGTTTTCGGCAAGGGAGAATCGCCCGTCAAGTCGACCACTTCAGCAGGCTGCGAGGGAATGTTCACAGGTTTCGGGCCACCGACACCACCGTAGCATGCCACGCTGCAATATCGCAAGGAAGCCTCCTCAGGATCTGGCGCGATATCGTTGGAACAAATGTGGTGCACGGGCTTGCCACACACAGAACACGGATCTGTCGCTAGCGACGTGTCCAAGTCACATCCGGTAGCGACGCATACATATCGCTTCTCTTCTTCCGGGTCGGACTGAACGCTTTCCTACGCCACTGTGAGATATGGCGTTCACGGTTTGGCTCACCGTTGATGCGTCCCTAGTTCCTGGTGGTCGCTTCTCTTCTTCCGCGTCGATCCAAAACGGAGACGTCTTGTCCAGGACTCGATTCGTTTTCGCCCACTCAACAACGTTGCTTTCGCCACGAAGGGTGACATTGCAGGAGTAGTAGATCCAGTCGTTGCTTAAGTCACCACGCGTCGGTCGCTTGCTCTTCCATGCGTGGGGCGGTGCCTTGAGAACCTTCCAGACCTTGGCGAACGTGTACTTCTCACTGCGTCGCATAGCAATTTGAGATATGTGCCCGTTGGAATTTGAGTTTTCAAATTGAAGAATTCTAATTGGCTGTCCCGAGAAAACTTCGATTCATCCAAGTGGACAACGCTGTCCGTATCCACCAAAATTCCGTCTCTCTGGATTAGTACGACTATGACGCACCCAGAAACCATTCCTTCAACAAATAGAACCAGAAAGGGCAATATTCACCCCTCCTCAAGCATATCCCCACTTATCTCCCGCGTTTTAGGAGGGAGTCGTATATTGATTAAAGTATACCCTATAATCAGCGACACACACTCCCCAATACGTCTTAGGCGTAATATACGTCTAAGACGTACAGCGGTCTTAGGGGAGTTAAATTAGAGACTTTTAATGAAACATTGCTGTAACGTTACAATGATGTACTTCACAAAAATCCATGTTCATCATGAAACATTATTGACGAATGACCTTGGGAATGCACGCTGCAAGCTTTCGAGAAAAATTAGGCAACGATGTAACACTGCACCATACAATCGTCATGTACTACGGTACTACCTCTGTCCAATAATAAGTGTTCGTATTTCACAAACCCAATTTCCAAGAAAGAATGTTCGTTTTTCATATTTGGATTTTTACAAACCACAAGTTACTCTCCTATTCAGACAATTGAACCAAGCCAAGCGCAGCGACAATGTCGTCATGAACCTCGGTGCCGTTGTATATGGTCAATGCCTCTATCTGTGTGCATATTACACCCATTTCCATACTCTCTTGAACCTCCTGGTCTAGTTTCTGCATGTGAGCAGCATAATCTACACGACTTAAGTATGCACAACCAACACTCCACGCGTTTCTTTCACAGGAAACCATTTCTGGTAGCCTCCCGCGAGCAAGCAACACGTCCTTTTTCATATGCGGGATTTTATAGTCATTCCCACCGGTGTCGAGAATAATCTCCTGGAGGCATCTCTGCAAGGTGAGAAAGTTCTTGGTGAGGGTTGTCGTGCTGACCGCCGCCCAGGCCGCGTCCGTCGCTGCCACAATCTCTTCAAGGCTGCTGGAATTCTTCTCAACTTGGAGCGTCTGAATGGCACGGAAGAAGCCAAGGTCCAGGACGTTCAAATCCGGTGAGTTTGGGGGTTGAAAAACCACCTCCATGTCCCACCCCATTGCCTTGCAAGCGGGCGATGGCAGAGTCACTCGGCGGTACGTGTGGACGCGCGTTGTCCTGTTGAATCTTGACGCGCTTGGTCTCACCACTTGGCCACTTGGATCGGATTGCAGGGATGACGTTGTCGATAATCATGGCCTTGTAGGTGTCGCGAGTGACGTTGACAGTCTTCATGACAGGCGTTCCTGCATCACGGCGACAGCTGCGCCGTTGCGCCGGCACGATCTCGGTGAAGTGCCACGTGCCGATCTTGCCATCGAACCATTCACCTTTCGCTTGGTCCCAGCGTGGGCGAGCGACCGCTGACAGGAACATGACCTTGAGCAGGTGACGCTTCGACTTACACGATCGTTGCTTGATCTTCTCACCAGGCGCGCCGTAAATCTTCTTCTGGAGCCGCGTCATGAAAAACCATTTTTCGTCAACATGAACAGTGTGGTACATGAGGTCAAAATACTTCGCGCCGTCGATATCCGTCACGTGCTTGATGGCCCAATTCTGCCGGCAGACCTTGTTGGATTCTGTGAGGGAGGGTGTCAGCACGCTGGAGTACTTCGCAATGACGCCATGCTTGAAGTAGACATGGAGGGTTGACTTGGGGATGTTGAGCGCGTAGGCAATAGAGCGGAAGCAATTGCGCCGCGACTGCGGCTTGAATCCGCTCGGGTATGTCGGTGTACATTCGTTTACGCCCGCTTTGGCCCTTCTTCCGCTGGTGGACGCTGGCACAGATTGTCTTGCTCCCAGACAGGTCTACAGATGCACGCCGCCAGATGCGCCGCACAGTCGTCGGGGTGCAGTCGAACAGCTTGCCCATGTCTTCGGCAACGCCCTTGGGTAGCTTGCCGCTCGAAGTGCACCGGTCAAGAGGTGCTGGACCAGGTTGTTGCACTCTCCGTCCGTGACATTCTTCTTGTGTTGGCCCTTCCGCATGTTGCGAAATGAATGGACAAAGGGGGCTGAAGGAGCTAGTTTTGAAAGCCAAACCTCCGCGCTGGTCTTGGCGGGAAGGCATTGCCGGATATCACTGTCGTATTTATCCGGATTTGTGTGGGTCGCTACTAAGGATTACATAATCTAAGCACAGACAATCTTGATGTTTGTATACATTTTGTTTCGTTTGTTTGGAGGTTTCGATTTAAGTTTAACATGCTCATATTATGCTATTCGGATAGCCCACACTTTCCTTGTTCTTCGGATAGCTATACTTTATCCTAATTCAGATTGGCTGGAGAAATATCTGGACTTTTCGAAATACGAACACTTATTATTGGACAGAGGTAGTAGTATTTTCGACATCAATGTTGACTGCAAGCATCCATGTCATCACCACAACCTTGCCTACGTATAAGGGCATCCCCAATAGGACGACGGTATAATCGGACTGTATTTTGACGTTTGCTGTCACTGTAACTTTGGCTATTTTGCATCAACGGTGAAAGAAAACGGCAAAAAATCCGCTTAACAGGCTCGTCCGGTTATTGTGACTCGGCTGATGGAACAACGACAGTGACTGCGGCGACGACACGATATAGACAACAAATGGGTCCCAAAGGGCATCTCCACCGCGGCGACAGTATATTTGGCACTAACGTAAAAAACCAGTAAATTGTCCGATATCAGAGAATGGCCCGACACACTTTTCATGACCAATTTTATTTACTGTTAATTGCATACTACGTAGTACTTCGAAGTACGAAGTCTAATCTCTAGTAAATATGTTACAGATCGACAATAGAATTACATATCCCACTAATTCGAAGTATAGGGATTCAAGGCTAAAGTAGGACCATTAACTGGTATCCTCAAATTTCACAATTTTGACTTTGACGAGCAAAAACTTGGTAAAGCACACATCAAATTCTTTAACGCTTGACAGCATAAAATGTAGAGCGTTCAATCGTCTTTCACGTCATGATTGGAAGACGTCCAATTCGTCGTAGTTGTTGAGAAATCGAAAAATAGCCAAGGGGTCGATTTTCGGGCATATATTGGTTTTTTACGTTAACGTTAAAATTAAACTTCGGTTTTCCCGGATAGCATTGTTGTATCCGGTACAATTTCGGATAAATGTACTTCATCCGTGAAATTTGGTGTTTTTGTTTAACGTTACTGTCGACCGTAAAACGAGAAAATTTAGTGTCCCTCCAAACCAAATACGTAGTACTTAAGACTTACAGGACAGAATTTAATATTAATACCAATCTTGGACATAGTAATGTTAGAGCATGTCCACCGCGCAACTGTAAACACAACCATAATTTTCTACTTACTATTAATAGCTCTACTCTTCGAAATTATGAATAATTTCTTTATTATCCGGGAGATTAGGTGATACTTAACTTACATTTAAGACTTACAGGACAGCATTTAATATTAATACCAACCTTGGATACTATATGGTTAATATAATATAATTGTTGAAATAGAGAAGCCAATCACTGCCTACAATTTGAATTCTTTTGACCAATCAATTGCTAGCATGAAAATCTCAGATGCACGGTTGGTTTTGGTTCAAGCAAATGCAGCGTAAGTGTATCGGAGGTGCCTCCAATGACAACCCTACTGGCCGGGCTGAGCGATTCTGCTGGTGAGCATCTTATAGTACCTTTTCAAGTCAACAAGAGGGTACCTGCACGAACGCTGTAGTGCTTTTGGATTGGCGTTAAGGCGATGGTGCATCTATGTCACCTGTGGGAACTACGATTGTTGCATGCTGCGCTATGACAATCGTGCGTTCTAACGGTTGATTGTTGCAAGATGGAGGCGCTGTAGTGCTTTTGGATTGGCTCCAAATTTAGTCACATATATCGTACCGATTCATTACATCTAAGTAGTCTATCAGGTCGAAGGAGTTTCGTCGGTAGTAGGATATCCATTGGCTACGCATTTAGCTCCATCATGGCTGCACTCTAAACATAGCTTGACATCGTGCGTATCTG